GTAATACAAATGCATGCCAGGGGCGAAAACTTCGTCGCATGAAGAGCATCAGTGGTGACTTTGACAAGCTTCTAGACAAGACTTCACTTGACAGTTCTGCTGCCCCAGAACTGACACTTGAGAAAGACACAGCCCATCTTGGAGATACGCGCAAGTTCTTTGTAGTGTGGAGAAGCACCACCACAACCCATACTGTCACTAGCACTTCATACAACAGAGCCATAACGGTCTCTGCTTCGGCTTACTGCACTTATGTAGGTTTCGCAGAGCCACTTTGCTGAGCCTTTGGGATGCTTTGGCATTGTTTCTGATTCATCTTGACTTCATCTGGCATGGATAGTGATACATAGTTCTACTGCAGTATAGTATTTGATGTTATGTGAAAATAGTGTGTGTTTATAATGACCCTTGGAATATTTGTAATTTATGAAATAAATTATGTTTATTAGCTGTGTTTTTATTTGACAGATAACTTTTACTTAAGTATTCAGGTGTCTTTGTTGCCTGAAGTTTATATCAGAATTTACATTTCAAAGCATCAGATTTGTCATCAGGTTTGGTAATTCATTGCATATTCTTTCAACACTTTCCTGTATTCATAGAAATATCTAAATTTCTCTTCATACATGATTCTATGGTTTGAAAAAAAAACTCCATGGCTTAAAACTTTATGACAAAAATAGATGTCTTGCAGATAAATACTTTTTTATAGCCTCAAAAAATATACACCTTATGGGTACTGTCACCATTTCAAATGCATTTGTTGACCAGGATCCACCCTAGCCTCTCAGCTACCAAGAACTATAAACTCTTGCAGCTTATCTGATAAGTAGCTCCTCTACTCCCATCTGGTTATCATCTACTTCAGGCTTCATGTTCACTAGCAACAGCAAGGAAAGCTTCGAAACAAGCAAACTCATCCTATGTGAACATACCTTGATGAAAAATTAAAGAGGAAAAGCCTTCATAATATTTATCTCCTGATCTTCCTATCTTGTTTTGTTTACAGCTTGTTTCAGCATTAATCTTGGTGCTTGTATATTAAATAGGTTTCAATTTATCTTTTTCTTGGGTACTTCACCCACTGATAAGTGACAGAAATGGACAATGGGATGAAAAAAGTAATATGAAAAATATTTTACAACTAAAATAATACAAATCATCAATCAAGTGTTTATTTTCACACATACAAATGGAGAAAATCAATAATAAAATTGGCACATTTTTCATACACTATTAGTTTTTTTAGTGCCAATTCACTGTAAAGCTATGACACAAAATTAATACAGGCATATCTGTATAAAATGAAAAAAACAAACAAAACAAAAATATATAGGAAATGAGTATAAATACATAAAAATACTTTTACCTTATTAACCCAATGGCCACAGGTACTATGCACTGTATTTTTTATGAATTTTGTTGACAGATGTCTCTACAAGTGCTCAGGCACCAAGAAGTCAATCAGTAGGCCCTACTGATTGACAATACCTCATCTGATTTCCCAATTCCATAATTTTTGGAAAAATGTTTTCTTGATGCTATTAGTATTGATGCTATTATATGCCATTATGATTAATATATCATAAATTGCTAATAGCAATAAAGAAAACTTTCCAAAAATCAAGGAAAAGTGTAAACAGGTGACACAATACGATTAGTAACTGACTCCTTAATGACTTAACTCTCATGGATCATCATAATAGAAATAGGAAAAGTAATAGCAACTGTAATTTGTTCTCATTTCCTCAATTCAGGCTCCCAGACACATTTTGATCCCTCATGAAGTATAATATGGGTACAAGACTATAATAAAAACACAGCCTAATTAGTTGATAAGGGCTTCCAGCTGCACCAAGCGTGCATTTATCTCCGAGTGTAGCCTCATGGGAATCATTCCTGCAAAGGTGACAATGGCACGAGCCTGTTCCTGCAGGTGCTGGAAAGAAAGAAAGGGGAAAAAATTGGGTAAGTTATCAACAAAATTACTTTTTACTTAGTACTGGTTGATACATAAAAAATGTATGTAAGGATTTTAGCTTACATATATTAACCCCTGGAGTACGGTTTCTTCAGGCAATCACATAGACAAAAGTACAGGCATTAGGCTTACTTAAGTGGCCACTTTGCCAGGTGTGTGGCAAGTAGACCCCACAAACACTCGTGCGGTGAAAAGACTCTATGCCTACCCTTTGCAAAGTTATTTCAGAAAAACGTTTTTAGCTTTTTCGCCATTCTCCAATGTACATTTTTGTCTTTTGATTTGCTTTATCCAGATGGTAATAGACTACATATCATCTCTCTATGTAGTAAATAACTCTGTGCAAGGAAAAATGTAATATTTTGTTATTTGTGTCATATATTTTTTTTCGCACTATTCAATTTTCTGTAATACAACCTGTGCCATAGCTGAGCATGAAAATGGCATTCTCTCTAGAGCCAACTCTATTCCAATCATGACTTATGGACATTACATTCCATACTCATTTATCTAAACAAT